CAGGGAGGCTTAGGTAGGGGGTGGGGTCCTGGAGGGCAGTTAGGAGCAGGGGTCCCAGGAGGGGGCAGTCAGGGGACAAGGAGCGGGGGGAGGGCTGGGGGTTCTGAGGGGGGCGGGAAGTGGGAGGGGCAGGGGCAGGGGCAGGGCTAGGGCAGGACAGGGGCAGGGCTAGGGCGGGGCTCCTCCCGTCCTCTTTTTTGCTTGCTGAAATATGGTAACCCTAGAGACTCTCACCGCCCTGAGTGGGGGGAGAGGGGGCCGGAGCCCTGGCCTCTTGCCGCCCCAGGTGGAGGTGGAGCTCAGATTTCAGCTTCAGCCCTGGGTCATTGGCCCTGGCGACCCCAATAAAATGGGGTCACAACCCACCTTGGGGTCCTGACCCACAATTTGAGAACCACTGCCAGTCCACACTCCATTTCCCGTAGCCCTCAAGGGCCCAGCCAAGCAGAGAATAGCTGGAACACAGTATGCTCTGGCTCCAGCCCCTTCGTGCCCCTTTCCCTGACATGAACGCTGCACGTGGGGCTGGTGACTGGCTTAGTGCTCCTCCAGCAGCTCTCCACCAGTGGGAGATGGCATGGCTAGACAAAAAGGGGTGTGGGACTGTAGGCAGCCAAGTGTGAAGTAGAACAGCCTTGAGGTTGCTCTACTTTACGCGGAGGGCCAGACTGACAGCCAGCTGGCCCCATGATTGAAGATTTCGCTGCAAAGAGGGCTTAAAACCACCTTTGCCATCACCTCTGGCCCTCCAGCCAGAAAGCATGTTCAGCACTGGATTATTAAAGATGGAAATTCAGAAAGGACAGTTTTGTGTTTTGCTGTTTGTAGGTATAGGGACGTGTAGCAAAATCTCCAGTCCCTGGCCTAGAGCGTGTACAATCTAGGGGTGAAATCTTGGCCCCATTGAAGTTAATGGCAAAACTCTCATTGACGTCACTGGAACCAGGATTTCACATATGACAGGATGTGCTAGGTGGACAAAACCAATGTGGATTGCAGAGAGGGTGTTGGGTTGAAGTTTGGAAGATGAAATAACAATAAAATGAAGGTTTAGCAGGAAAGCTGAAGTCTCAGCTTGCCGGTTGCCTGCCAAAACACCTATAAATCCCTCCTGTCTGGTGTTTTGGGAGAGGCGGGTTTTAAGGAGGGACTGAGAATATAGGTGGCAACTTTATGAATTTGTATGAGGAGGTTTTCCTACACATAAGGGGTGGCAAGAGAGAAAGCACAACACCTCTACAAGTATCATTCCTTCCTGTGCCAAATGTGCTTTGTCACCCCAAAATTGTTAGAATCTGTTGGGGTCATGTCCTTCCTATTTTACAGATTTTCTGTGTTGTGTATTATGATAGCTATGCATTATTTTATTGTATTAATTAAATGCACCATTGTTGAGAGATTAACAGGCTCTGAATCTTTCTGTCCCATCCCGTGTTGCAGTATAAATATAAACGACGTTGAGCCGGAGGAACGTGCTGAGGAGGCAGAAGAAATAAAACTGGTAAATATTTGCATGAGCAGAAGGACTTGTGGGGAGTGGTAGCTTTAATTACATGTGCTCTTTTAAGTAAATAATGCACGACACAGCATGTGTTGTTACATATAATCACATGGGTTGAGTGCACTTTGAGTCGCATCTTTCCTACAGCCCATCTGTTAAATTCACTATGATAAACATAGACATGATCTGGAGTGCCTTTGGGTTATAATATCTTAGAAATCATAGACATATAGGCCTGGAAAGGATCTTGAGAGGGTATCAAGTCCACCCCTTTATGCTGAGGCAGAACCAAGTAAACCTAGACCATCCCTGACAGGTGTTTGTCCAGCCTGTTCTTAAAAACCTTCAGTGATGGGATTCCACAACCACCCTTGGAAGACTATTCCAGAGCCTAACTACCCTTATAGTTAGGAAGTTTTTCCTAATATCCAACCTAAATCTCCCTTGCTTCAGATTAAGCTCATTACTTCTAGTCCTACCTTCAGTGAACATGGAGAACAATTGATCACCATCCTCTTTTGTAGTAGCGCTTAGCATATTTGAAGACTATCAGCTCTCCCCTCAGTCTTCTTTTTCTCACTATTAAACATGCCCATTTTTTTTAACCTTTCCTCACAGGTCAGGTTTTTTAAACCTCATTTTTGTTGCTTTGCTCTGGACTCTTTCCAGTTTGTCTGCATCTTTCCTAAAGTGTGGCACCCTGAACTGGACAAGTACTCCAGCTGAGGCCTCACCAGTGCCGTGGGACAATTACTTTCTGTGTCTTTCAAATAACACTCCTGTTAGTACATCCCAGAAAGATACTAGCCTTTTCGATATGTTCTACCCTATTTGTGTGTGTGCGTGGATTTTAATGGGATTTGGGCATCTACCTCTCTTAGGCTCTTTTGAAAATCATAATATATATCATGTAAGGCTAGACCCTGATACCCTTACTGCACACTGAATGCTCGTTTACTCCGTAAGTAGTCCCGTTTATTCATACAGGTGCTACTTGTGGAGTAAGGTCCTATTCTTTGGGAGTAACTGGATTAGAATTTAGCTCTTCAATAGCTTGCAATTTATTATTATTATGCTACAGAGAATGAGTCCTTTTAAAATTTAAAGAAACACTGTCACGGGGTATAAAAATAATTTTATTCTTCCATTGATTTCAAGAATAAAATGTCTTTCTGTTTTTATCTTTTTCCACTGTGCACATAATGAAATCCTACAGCTTCTCCCACGCTCCTGTTTCTAATAGGATTTGAAATGTATTTATCCTTTGATTTGTTTCATGTGTTTCCCCCACCATCCAATAATCTTTGACGATGATAGGTTTCACCCCAAGGAGCTGTTACTATTTTTTTGTTCTGTGTTGTGCAGTGCCAATCACAATGGGGTCTTGATCCATGACTGGGATTTTTCCGGACTACTGCAATACAAATAATAACATTACTCTTCATTGCTCTGGAAATAGGGTTTGTTGGTCAGCTGAACAGCTGCAACACAGCCAGTAAGGGGAATACAAAATACTGTTTTTGTATAGGTAATACATAAATATGGGCTATGTACTTTTTAAATCTCAGAAACAGAATGGTAGATTTCCCTAATAATAATAAACCCAGAGAAGATCTATTGAATGTGAAGGGTATGTTCAAAACCAGATTCTAACGAGTTTTAAATAATTGAGATTTTGGTCTTAAGCTACTTTTAAGGCTAGATTTTTCAAAAGGAACTCAGTTCCCATTTAGGCACCTAAACAAAATGGTCAAATTTTCACAGGGGCTCAGCTAGGGTGACCAGACATCCCAATTTTATCGGGACTGTCCTGATATTTGCTTATTTGTCCTGCGTCCCGACCTACCTTCGGTTGGGACGTGAATTGTCCCGATATTTTGTCTCCGTTCACAGGCGGAGCGGAGCCTGGAGGGGGCTCGCGCCCCCCTCCGCCCCAACTCCACCCCCTCCTTCCCACATTGGATCCCTCCCC